CATAAACTAAAGATGCACTTTTTTGTGGCTATAGTATATGGTCATTAAATTTAATTCATTTTATAAAATAGATGTTTAGAAGATGTAGAAGTGATATCATTTTTTCCTTAGAACTACTTTTTGTGGTCAGTTTTTTGTCCTTCCCCGGCACCCCCGATTAGCTCGGTTGGATATGTACAGTGCGAACAAGTCCAACGTACATGCATGAAGCACAACAATGAGATGTCTACAGCACAGGAATGTGTAATTCCCACCTCTGCCTCAAAGGGTCATTTACAGAGATGAGTGCTTGTCCAATTCTCAACTAAGCACAGATAGATTTTGACTTGATTACATTATGGACAATTATCAAGGTCAAGCATTAGTATCTATCTGTAAGATGCTTAAAGGCCTCAGCAATTCAAAGCGCTTCATATGATCACTTCACATTATTCCAATATCCCTTTTGCAGTCTCGCCAAGGGGAACCACCAGTGGCAGGTGGCGCTGTGCAGCGCAAGGTGCAATCAGTACAACCCTGAAAATGGCCATTAGTCTGGCAGTAGGAGGTGCTATTATTACAATAGTCTCTCGGTTAATAGTGACATCGGTTAACGGTTTTTCGGTTAACGCTTCGCCTCCCATATGACCCCATAGTTTCGACTAACGTTAAAGTTCTGACTTACGGTAAGTTTATGTTATATGCACGTGGCACTAATTTCGACCAATCTAAGCGCTCGTAAGCGGAGCTGAGCCATGCCCTTAAGGCATGCCTCAGCTCCACTTACAGCCCATTTATGGGCGTTCAGGGCGTTCAGACCTCGACTGGCTTTTGTTTTCTATTTTGGCAGTGGAAATAGCTCTCTTGCAGACTCAGTAATTTTTACTTATTCAACTTATAAGTGAATTCAATAAACAGTTATTTCGTTTAATTGCAGTTTTTGTGGAATGAATTTTAAAAAGTTAACCGAGGGATTACTGTATGTGGTTTTCCACATCAATTTGGAAGGAATGTAATTAAATGTTCATCATGATGCTACAACACATGGCCTCTTTTTTTCAAATAGCATCACGACATCCCGATCGGCCACCACAAAGCAGACGGGGCACAGTATGTATGGTTAATGCACCCGCAATATTAACCAGGGATGCCTGCTGGCGTTGAACCACAAACCTCTGAAACAAGCGGCCTCTGCTTCTCACATTAAATATTATTTGAAAGAAAGCAAACTTTAATGTGGCATTGTTATGCGTCCCTGACCATAAGCCGAGTCCATATTTTCATGCATATTAAAATAATTTATGAATCATGATATTAAAAATGAATGTTGGCATGGAGATAAAAATATGTGAATAGTATCAAGTAATATTTGCTTCCAAAATCCATCAATATATTTTATAAGGGACCAGATTGGGCATGTCAAGATAACTCCACCAGCTGGCTCTCATGTTTGTTTTACATCTGCACAGTGTGAGTTAAAAACCATATGCAATGAATGTTACGAGTAAGATCACAAATTAGAGGAAAAAATACGTCGTCCGTTTGGAAAACATTTTTTAGATTTTTTTTCCCTGAGTCCTAATGCATACCTTGATGCCTAAATGTTACTTTGCATATTTCAATAGCTGTACATGCAAGTTAATAATCAATTATGTTAATTGATGTTGGTTACTCTTAAACTAGTGTAGTGACTGACCTGGAGACACAAGTTCTTAGAGGCAATTATTTTATTAAATCGAGCACCCTTTGCACAATACACACCCTACGCTGGTACACACTCTTCTCTCTCATTTATACACAACTCTACATAAGTTGCTAGCCTATACACAACGCTAGCCGTCTGACACTGATGGTGCTGAACCGAGACAGTGAACTACCATCTAGCAGCACAATATCAGGTGAAGACGAAAGCGACGAAGGCGATGATCTTCAGCAGCACGACGAGATCCAACTCCAAATGACAGCGACAAGGTCCCCTCCTGGTGCACCTTTTATACTGTCAGCGTGGCCTGGCTCCGCCCCGGCCACGCCCCCCTTCTGGAACCTACGAGCGGGTTCTCGATATGTCCCATACGTAACCTTTCCCTTACATCCCTCTCTGCTCTATCACGTGTCCTGCTGTCAGTCAGGGCTGCTGCACGCTGCAGATCCCCTTCCTTGCCAGCAGCCAGCGCTATGCTGCTACGTGACCGATTCTATGTCACTACACGAGCAATAAACATGACCCTTTAAAATGAGACCGGGATGTTATTGATAAAAGGGTTTCTGGGATGCTACCCTGATAGTGATACATTTTAAGATTAGTAACGCTTATTTTTATATGGGATCATTCATAACCTTTGTATCTGACAATCTCGGTGAGCTGGCGCCAACAACATTTGCCCAAGTTCTACAGTCCTTTATATAAAGATCGTTTAAATTTCGATTTAAAGCTTTCGTGACTGCAGGGATTCATTTTCTTGGATCTTTCGGTAAAGTCACGTGACTTTACAGAAAGAACCAAGAAGATCGTTTAAGCCAGGTAATGAGTCTTTGCATGTGGTAGACAACCAGAGCACCCAGAGAAAATCCATGCATGCGAGGGGGCAATATTCATTCCCATACAGCAGGGACAGAGAATGCTGTACTGCATTCTCCTGGAGAGCCAGGGTATGGTACCCCCTCGACACCCAAGACATGTGGGTTTCGCAACATTTGTGTGATCCACCCACCCTAACCTCTGGAGTGCTGGTTTATAGGCGTGCACCACCACTGCCCAGCTATTTTGTACAAGATCAAAATTATTTTTTACTTTGCAAGTCATGGAGGTTCTTTATGGCAACCTGCGAAAGTCATGCATTCTACCAGGTGTCAGTGTGCACGATGCTCTTGGGTATAGGGTGGGCAAGGTTAGGGTGGGTCTGGGAGTAGGGCCACAGTGTCAGAGGTTCCCCACAATTCATGAGCCACTGTTCTGCGAGTGTGATTACGGGCAGCATTTTGCTTCTGTATGTACGCACGTATGTATATTGAACTTCGTTCCCACTGTATGTAGCCAACCGTGCTAATCAGATGTGTTGGACAACAAACTGAACACAAAAACAATTCTAAAGAAATGAGTCCTCAATCGAGATTTTAAAATGTATACATCCAGTAGCTTCCTAATATGGCCTCAGAAGTGCATCTGAAATGCCGTGATGTGGTGACCGTGTTCGATGGCTAGCCAAAAGCCGCTGTGCAAATGGTCGGATTTCGCGTGATGGTTTATGCTGCTTAAAACTAGATGTGTGGTGGGCATTGCAGCACACTCAGCGCAAGTCATTAGGCCGTCCGAGGTGGCAACTAGTAGTAATAAATGCACACATCGGGGTGGGGGGGACATAACAGTGAAGAATTAGCCTGAGCGTTTAGTGTATTTTTAAAGCGTTTTTAACGCGAAAGAAAATGTGCCCCTCACTCCCACCGAAGGCTTGCGACTTGGCAAAGGCGCGTGAGTTGGTATGGTCGTGCACGAGTCATAAGTAAATAAATAAAATGGAAGCGCACACAAATCGCACTAAATCGCTAATTAAACTAATTTAAAGTTGACGGATGTGAAAAAGGAATAGCGCTTGCTGACCGCGGGGCTTACGGCGTGGTACCTGGTTATTTTTTTTTACGGAAACCCCACCGTTGGAGAGCCAAGCGCGCAACCACACACAAACCCACACACGATTTTTGACTATTTAGATAGAAGATGGACCACATATACTTCCATACACAAAAGGCAAAGTCTCCCTATAACTTTGCAGATTGTTGAGCAAAGTATTGTTAGCAAGTATCTATAACGCCAGTATGGCGCATGAGACTGTGGTATGGCCAGCACCATGCATGGTATCTTGGTCTTCCCAATGCTGAAATTTACACATAGCATCAGGTACTCACTAACGCTGAGTTTACCTCGGGAGCACAGACGAGGTTCAGATATCACACCAATTTTGTTAGCCATGTTTTGGGAATCAAACCCAGCTCATCAGGTTTGTAATAGAATTATATATGCTTGACCACTGCTTTCCTTAAAAATATTAAAAAACACTTGTACATGCAAAATAATTTTTATAATGCCCAGATCAACGTTATTTTATTTTTCTTAAATCGCATATATCCATTACCCAGTCTCCAATGTCTCCTGCTATTGCAATGCACTCTCCCAGATAATAGGTTTATTAATTTTGTTCATTCATTTGTAATAATGAGTTGTGCAAAATGACAAACATCGTTTAGGTTACATGTGCCTTGGCCCCAGTCAATTCAACTTGAGGAGAGTTAATGTGAAGACATAATATCCTCTCGTTGCTAGATAGCCTTTGTTCTTTTGTGCTGGGTATTCTTCGACAGAGATGCTGCCGTGGTTTATTTATTGGCGCACTGGACTTACAAACCACTGGTTCACTCTCCCGGCGCGTACATATAAATAATGGGCATGTTTCTTAAATCCCCCACCTCTGTCCACCAAGCAGTATAATGGGTACAATGCAGTCAATTGCCAGGTCGCATGTGATAGGGTAAAGTGTGGGTATTCAATCCTCTTCAAATACGTCTGACCAGGGTGGAAGAATTAGCCAACTCACCCTCTAGAAAAGGACTTCTGCCAGAATGGACAGGGACGTATGTACATAGGTATTTTTACCTTTTTGTACCGTACGTAGCCCACATGCTAATTGGAGGTGCGGGGGAAGGACAACAAATAAACACAAAAATCTATTCTAAACAAATTAGTTTTCAATCTAGATTTAAAAGTGCACAACTCCAGTGGCTTCCTTATATCAGAAGAGCGTTCCAGACGGCCGCAGAAGCGCACCCGAAAGCACGCGATGCAGTGACCGTCTTTGTTCGATGGGTTAGCCAAAAGCCGCTGCCATGAGGATGACCAGAGTTTGTGTGATAATCAATTAACACCACTAATCGGAGGTGTGGGGATGGGGATGTGAGTGAGACATTGCGGCGTTGCACTTTCACTTCTTTATCTTTTTGTTACTTTACAACCCGTACTTGCGCAACAGGTAATCCTCAACAACCCCGGGCGGATCGCAGCTGAGAAGGTGCGCCAAGCCCGCCGGCAGAAGCTTCGCGCCGCCGAAGAAGAGGAGCGAGCACTGCGGAGCGGCGGCGGTGGCGGCAGTGATGCCACGAGACATTCCTATGGCGGCGGCGGAGTGGTCAGCGGGGGCGGCACTTTGGGGCGGCCTTCCCCACGGATAAACGCGGCCACCAACGGCATGGCCACGCCCGGTCACATCAGCATCCTGCAGGTAATGCCGAGCGGTGTCCGTTAAGTTCAATGTTCTTCATTGAAAGGCCCCATCGGCCCCCTGGTGGCCTTTAGTGCGGCCCCTGATGTGCGGCCCCTGACAATACACATGTTAAAACACCCATATCGTCGTGCTCTCAAACCCAATGGGTTCAAATGTGTGGTGGCCCTCACACTGATGTCTCATCGGCGAAAGTTGCTCCCTTCTGAAAATGAGTGAAGAACATTGGTCGAGATTGTTATCCTCCCGCACCTCCGATTAGCACGGTTGGCGACGTACAGTGCAAAAGAAGTTCAGCATGTTTTTATTTTCAATTATAATAGCGTAATAACATGGCAAGCCATCACAAGGGTACTGAACGATAATAGTGCTAAGTGCCACTTTTCTCTGTAGGATGCATAGCTATATGGTACAATGGAAATATTATATATATGAGGAAAGATATACTTCAAAAAGGGGCCATTGCACACAAATTCACCCGTTATTTAAAATGCTTCCTGTTCAGGCAGTGTTGTGCTTTATTTATTAGGGCTTTGCGCTTTACTGCCAATGCAGTATCAGGATTTTTATAATACTAGAGGGAAGTACCTGGTGTTGCCCGGGTCTTAAAAATATTTCAAAACTACTCTTAAAAATCTAACAGCAGTGCGTACTATGGTGGTACCTGCTATGATTACAGCAGTACATACTGTGGTGGTACCTGCTATGATTACAGCAGTGCATACCGACTGTGGTGGTACCTGCTATCACTACATTAGTACATGGTGACTCTATATCAGTATTTATTGACTGTACTGTATAGCACAAAGTACTCGCCTAACAGAGTGGCGTGGTAAGGCATAGTCCCGTGCAGAGCCTCCGGCCTCGCCTAGATTGTCCAGCCGGCCGAGGTGGCACCTTGGCAGGCTGGGGCTGAGCTGCTACCCCTGACCCCCCCGCCCCCCCAGCCACGATCTCCCAGGCCGCTCTGCAGTAATATCTACGGCCTATCGTGGTAGCATCTAGCGACTGTATCATAATAATAACTGCACGCATTGGGGTGGGGGGGACATCACACAGTGAAGAATCAACCTGAGCGTTGTGTATTTTATATCATTTTTAACGTGAAAGAAAATGTCCCCCTCACTCACACCGAAGGCGTGCGACTTGGCATGTGCCGTTCCCCCCACCAAAGGCGCTGAGTTGGTATGGTCGTGCACGCGTCATAAATAAATACATAAAATGGAAGCGCACAATAAATCGCACTAAATCGCTAATTAAACTAATTTAAAGGTGACGGGGCTTACGGCGTGGTACCTGGCTATTTTGTTTGCCGGAAACCTCACCGTTGGAGAGCCAAGCGCGCGACCACACACAAACCCACACACAAACCCACACGTAATTTTTGACTTTATTTTTAATTAATAGAAGATTGTATTACTATGAGGCCTACTTCAGGACATGTTTGCATGCCTCTGGAGCCCATAACATTTTTACAGAGCTTGAGGTGAACACTTAAGTAAGCATAATCCTTTACAAGATGCCTACTGTAAGATAGTAAAAATACCAGTTAGTTATCCAGAAAAACCTCATCGAGTCTCAAGCCTCTTTTTAAAGAGGGTCCTACATTAGAATGTCTCGCCACTACCATTAATGGCTTGTGGGAGGAGGCTGTGCCACCTTCGGATCACTTCAAAGCCCCATGTAGGCTTTCCACTTCTTTGGTACAAACAACTGGGACATACCATGGGAAAAATAATATCTCCCAATACCAGAAGGGAGAACTTCACATAAATGCATTGTCTTAAGTGTTGTATTGTTATACTACTGAAAAAATAGGACTTTTAATATCCCAGGAAAATTGACAGCTAACCCAGGACAGCTGCATCAACAACAGGAATATCATGGGAAAACCAGGCCCCATGCCTACAATACCTAGCAAGCCCTCTAATTGACCTCAGATCAGATTAGAATATGTATTTATACTGGAGTAATCAGATGAGCTATACAGCTCTCTATCACAGATGTCCAGTACAGGCTGGTCAGAACGTTACAATAAGAACCAATACAAAAACATCATACGAGTGAAAAGTATAGTAAATGTAAACAAATCACAAAAAAATATACTAATTAAACTAAACAATTTAATCGTATCATGGAAAGCCTACTGAGCTATTAGCATCTTTTTTATAAGTGACCTGACCACAATGATAGCTCAACAAAATGGCTTATCATGTGAAATTTATAGCACCAAATAATCTAATAATCTAAATGAATGTTTCTAAATGTAGAGGGAAGATCCAGAGGGCCTGGAGAAAAAATCCACGCAACCACGAGGAGAACATGGAAACTCCAAATATACACCAGGTGTCAGGGTCAGGAACGAACTCCTGACCTTCTGCATACCAGGCGAGGAAGATAACATCAGACCACCATGGCACCCCTTCGATAAATACTAAATAAATCGAGTATATAAGTTCAAAATTCATTAGCACACCAATTCACAAGCTTGGGAAAGGCAGTAAAACAACAGCAAAAACAGTCCCAGACCACACCAAGACCACACAGTCCCTCAATAAAATTGTGCATGAAAATGTAGCTATCGATACATTGTTAACAATCAAATTTACAATGAAAATTGTCAAATGTGGCTGTATCCAGCACTAATCTTCTACTGTAGAATATGCTTTTGAAGGAAGATCTACGATGTTATGGGAGGAAACAAGGTTGTACTAACCGGGTTAAATGCTCTTTTGCTTCCACGGCCAGACAAGATTGGGTGAATTTAGAGAGATTTAAAAGTGACAGGTTTAAACGATGTTGATGGTTCGATTGCCTCTACTTCCCATAAGTTTTTGTGAGACATTGCCAAAGTTCGCTGTCTGCTGGAAAAGGGACATTAAAAAAAACTGGCATCGCATTCCAGGAATGTATTTTTTGAGCACTGTCATTCGGTATTTATAAAAAAAATTTAAGTCAGACAGGGGCTCTTTGTGAACACACCCTTTCACGAGAGAAGAAAGAACGTGATTTAACAAAATTACATTTACCAATTAGAAAGGTCACAACGTTGTTATTCTAAGGGTAAATGACAGCATAACATATAAAATATTCACGTGGAAATGTCAAGCCCCTTAAGCAGACCGTGTGTGTGACATTCAATCATGTTATATAATGTAATTAACACAATACCATCCGGGGATATGTTTAATTGAACGAAAACACTGTCTGCGTGGTCCTTGAGACGGGGGCAGACGTGAGTGTCTAATCAGCTGAGCAGCACTCACCCTTAACTTGAACAGACCGTGCCAACTTGTATCCTAAATGATTCAGGCACTGTTGTGCTTATTCATTGAAGTTTCATGCACGCTAATCCGTGACCTGAATGAATCACGTATACATTTCATACGCATAGTTTACAAATGTGTATTTGAATTAACTATATTTCAGGATGAAGATATCTGTTTGCAGATACACATTTCAAACGTTGGTGATTACACCGTTGTTCATGAAGAATCAGACGCACTGGGATTATTGTTAACATCTGATATTTCATTGCACATTTAATGCACGTTTGTTATAAATGTGCCCAGTGCAAAGCCTCTAGTTGTCACCATTTTACAAAGATCCATTTGAGAATGAAAACATATAAATTGAATATATAAAAATTAAAGATGTACACACTTTATGAATGTAGTTGTGATTGTTTGTATACTAATAAACTACATTTAGTAATTAATGTATAACTTACATAAAACATTATACTGGTAGGAACCTCTTGGTTACACCAGCCCACAGGGGATTATTGTATCCGTCCGTCGCTGCATCAAAAAATGGGTAGGGGTTGGGCTGGGTGGAGAGGGGAGGGTGGGGAGGGGCTGAGTTGGGAGGGTGGGGAGGGTGGGACTGGGTGGGGGGTGGGGCTGGGTGGGAGGGGCTGGTCACCTCGTGGTGCCCTTATAAAACTCAACGTTTAACCTACTCACGCCGGCTTGTGCCGGCCCTCACAGTCGGGCATATTTGCGGAATACACCACGCTGCCGTTGACCCTGGGCATTGACCGAGCAACCCAACGTTCCTACCAGCTCCCTCCGCAGGAATGTGTTCTGGTATTGATATTCTGCCGCATACTTTCCACGTTAAATTGGATCATTCAGATATTGTACTAACTGCGGCAGGGCAGAAAATATCAATGTTTCACTGATATGAGTGTTGGCATATAATTAAGGAAGTCAATATCTTACCCTTAAAGATAAATATTTGATCACTTGCACATAAAACATGTGGTTGCCTCTTCAAAAGCATACATATGTAGTGGGTTCCACAGAGGCACACACTCGAACTTGGAGGCAACACGTTTATTTCTTAACACAACGGGTTAACTATATAACCACTTGATGGATAACGATATAGGGTGGTAACCACCACGAGTAACTACATAACCACTCAATGGGATAACTATACAATCGGACCAGGTCAGCTAACACCCTGCCTGGTCCATGATGCCGTGCGCGAAGCCCAAAGACCGAAAACGTAGCCTGCGGATTCCATTCCTAGAGACTGAACAACCACGATCGCTCTCGGGACTCGGCCTTTATGGGCCACGGCATGGCCTGGCTCCGCCCTTGGCCACGCCCCTTTCCATATCCTTCTCCGAGACTCTGGGTCCACATCACGTGTCCCTCTGACCTCCTCTTTGGTCCTAGTTACCACCTTGTCCGGTCACGTGCCCTCTCGGGTTCACCCAGACTGTCATGTCCTCACCCGATTTCTCTCTGTCACCCGAACTATGCCCCCTAGGGGCCCTTCCGTTCCATACTCATTGCAATGCTCGAGAGAGGCTCCACACATACAGTACCGCTCTTCTCTCGGTACTGACGCTACACCACAGTGACTCTCAAGCACGCCTACTCCACATATAAACACATTCCTTCGGAGTGGGCAGGTAGGAGCTTGGTTGGACAGCGCATTCGTGCGATCCGTGTCGTGCAGCGCAAGCTGCGTGGGGCCGCACGTCACGT